ATTTTGTTTTAACTTTATATTGTATATAGAACAAAAGGGTACAATTCTAACATACATACCATTTACTGGAGTCATGCATTCAACTTCAAATTAGATTTTGTACCATTCCTCATTATTATTCTTGAACTTTAGAAATATTTATAACCGTGCTTACTACCCGTAAATGATATAAAAACATATATAACATTTTAACAAAGCCTACCTCTATAATACCGCTATATTCTATATTATTAACATTTGTTCTGTATTTGTTTTACAGCTGAAGATGGAGTTTTGAGAAACTGTTTCACACAGTGTACCTTAATGAAAAGGTGAATTAAGAATGCAATGATATTTGTTTATAAAGTATTAGAAATAAATAGTTCATTTTATTTTTGAAGAACAAATGTCGTGGTTACAGTAGTTGTCAAAGTGAAGCTCTCATTTACGTTTTAAGATATGAAAGTTTGTTGTGGTTTCACAGTTAAACCGACTTGTTCCATCTCACAGACACACGGCTGATTCTAAATACTCTCGCTGTGGTTTACTGCCGAGTTAAAAGTGTTTCTGCATCGCGCTGAGTCTGTGGTTAAACATGTGTTATATTGACTGTCTTGTGAAGGTGTGAAGGTGACTGTGAGGACACATGAACTATAAAATGTGTCACAGTGTGTTTCTGTGTCACTGTTTTCAGATTCATTGTAATTGTAAATATTGCTTTACCTCGTCACATCATTGAACAAGGTTTTACCGCTCTGCCATAGAGAGCATATTCACTATTAAACAGTTTCTCTTCCAAACCATACACACTCTGAGCTAAACACAAACACACACACATACACAAACACACACACACACACACACACACACACACACACACACACACACACACACACACACACACACACACACACACACACACACACACACACACACACACACACACAGAGAGACTCTGCAACCCACGTCATGAACTCAAAACCTCTGGTCATTTTATCACATCTACTTTTATACATCTTAAACTGCATCTGCATTGATTAAAGAAACTCTGTTCTTTTCATCCTGAAAGAGAAACCAGGCGTATGTCGCTGTGACACATTTTGTCCAATAATAATAGTAATAAAGAACTTTAAAATTCAGCTGTTTTCAATCAATTTGTATTTATTGGTATTTGTGTATTTATTGTCTGCAGTGTTTTTCAACTGACTTCAGGTGACAGAGGAGCTGAATATGGATATTATATATGACACAACAAACCTGCCTTGTTTTTAATGTTAAGATCTGCATTCTTTCTGGTTTAATAAACAGAGGTGGGAAGTAGTGGAGTACAAATATTTCGTTACTGTACTTAAGTAATTTTTTCTGGTATCAGTACTTTACTCCACTACTTATTTTTCTGATACATTTTTAACCCAAATACCTGTACTTTCTACTTCTTACATGTTGAACACAAATACCTGTACTTTCTACTTCTTACATGTTGAACCCAAATACCTGTACTTTCTACTTCTTACATGTTGAACCCAAATACCTGTACTTTCTACTTCTTACATGTTGAACACAAATACCTGTACTTTCTACTTCTTACATGTTGAACACAAATACCTGTACTTTCTACTTCTTACATGTTGAACTCAAATACCTGTACTTTCTACTTCTTACATGTTGAACACAAATACCTGTACTTTCTACTTCTTACACTTTGAACACAAATACCTGTACTTTCTACTTCTTACATTTTGAACCCAAATACCTGTACTTTCTACTTCTTACATTTTGAACACAAATACCTGTACTTTCTACTTCTTACATGTTGAACCCAAATACCTGTACTTTCTACTTCTTACATGTTGAACACAAATACCTGTACTTTCTACTTCTTACATGTTGAACCCAAATACCTGTACTTTCTACTTCTTACATGTTGAACCCAAATACCTGTACTTTCTACTTCTTACATGTTGAACCCAAATACCTGTACTTTCTACTTCTTACATGTTGAACCCAAATACCTGTACTTTCTACTTCTCTCATTTTCCAAACAGGCTGGTTCCTTTAGTTTGAATGTGTGTTTGGTGGCGTGATCATTATTATTTAGAGTCATTGCGTGCCTATTGATTTGAACACGATCCGTGTATCCATCATTTCCTGAGGCCTGTACTACGAAGCTGGATTTTCGCTTAGCCGGCTAAATTCAGGGAAATCTCAGGCTTTCCGGTCCTACGACGCTGGTTCTCTTTTTAGCAGGCTAGATTTCCATGGTAACTTATGCTGAGCGGCAAACCTGCTCCGGAGCAGGTTAGGTTGCAGGCTAAGAGATCAACTCAGTGAAAGCACCGCCTGCTGACCAATCAGAGCTCCGTGTGTGCGGAGTTTAAAGCGATCAATTCATATTACATGATAGAGGAAATACAGAAAAACTGCCGTTGCAGGAAAGACAGCCGGCAAAAATCAACTGACTGTGTGAACGTGAAAATTAATAGAATATCCCCTCCCATCTTCAGAGCAATCTGACTATTATAATATTAGCGTTAAGAAAGCTTACTTAAATATCTGCCACGACATAAGTAACCGGATCAGAGTAACATTAAGTACAGTCCGCGGCACTGTGAGTGCAGACGTAGATGTGTCCCATTATCATTCATATCATATCACATCATAATGTATCATATATTTCCTTATCTGAGTCAGCTGAGCCGTATCTGGCCGTGCAACACTCACAGTGTCACATACTGTATGAAGAAGTATTATTTTAAGCAACACATTAAGTTGACGAAACACTCGAGTCAAATTCTCCTAATTAAAGTCAGATCCACTCGTGTCTTGGACGGGGCAGTGATTTCATAAACCTGTTAATGTACGCATTCAAACGCTTTTTCTTTTACCAGCTGTATTCACCTTGCAGGTGCAGCTATGTGGCTTTTATCCTGGATAAAGTGTTTAAGTCATGGATGTTTAAAGTTTAACTTCTTCATATTTGACTAATATTAAAGTTCACTTTTCATTCAGGAAGTATGACGCTGCGCTGTCAGTACGCTTGTCCGTGTTTGAGATTGGTCGAATGCTCCAAATACCACCCCTTTCATGTGAACGCGCACCTAACTAGATAGGACACGGCTGGCTTGAGCGATCCACTTGATAACCGGCGTCGTAGTACAGCTTAGCGCCAGCGCGTATGTTTTGGCTTAGGCCAACCGGCTAACTCCAACATATCCAGGTTAAGTTGAACCAGCTTCGTAGTACAGGCCTCTGGTCTTCTCTAAAGAAGAGGGACCAATGAAAACGTTGTCATGTTGCCGTTAGGTTAGGGTTAGGGTTAGGTTTGGGTTAGGAGTAGGGTTATGGATTCCGGTATGGGATTGGGTTGCACTGGCCTAGGGGTCTGTGGATGGGTGTTGTGAGTTTGTTTGTCTGTTAATGTTGGGGTACATTGACCAAGGAGGAGGAGTAGTTCAGATCATCCCTGGGACTGTTGGGCAGAGGAGAGGGGGGATCCAGAGGCGATATGTCTAAACGTCGTTGAGACCCCTGGGTGTGGTTGTCCCGAGTTTCTGGATCCAAGATGTTTCTGCCCTCTTCCTCTGCCCGATGGTCCACCGGTCATTGGTTTCCAGGCCTGAGATGATGAGTTGGTCTGGCGGGTGTCGTTGAAAATGGGTGACCTGGGGGGTTGGGAGTTAGGGTTGTGACTGGAGGAGGGAGAAGTTATTTTTGATGGTCCGGTGGAATCCTGTGATGGTGTGGGAAAAGGTGGAGACAAATGGAATGAGTTGACGGTTGGGGTTAGGGTCAGGTGGGAGATGGTTAGGGTTAGGATCCGGAGGTGGAAGCTTGTCAGTGGATGAGGGGTGCGGACATGGGACGAGTCCCCTGGGGTTGAGATTATGGTTAGGGTCAGGTAGGGGGTGGTTGGGGTTAGGGCTAGGTGGGGGAGGGTTGTCGGTGGGGGAGTGGTCCGGGCAGTCTCCACGTACCAATGGGTTGGGGTTAGGGAGGAGGGGGGTTGGATGCAGACCCTGGTTCGGGTGGGGGAAATCCGGGTGGGAGTGTGGGTAAGGAAGAGGATGCAAACCCTGGTTAGGGTGGGGGTTAGGGTTAGGGTTAGTTTAGTCAGTACTTCTACTTTCACCAGAGTACTTTAAACACGAGTATCTGTACTTCTACTTGAGTAAAGGATGTGTGTACTTTTGCCATCTCTGATAATAACTACATTTTGATGTTAAGCCTTACAGCTTTGATCTGAATTAATAATGGATGCAGTGTATTTCCTCCCTCTGTCCACCAGATGTCTCCACACTCTCAGAGTCATGTTGAACTCCTCACTTCTCAGAGTGCAGTCACATGACCTGGTTCACCTGCTCACCTGTTTCCACTTCCCCTCATCAGCCTGCAGAGTGAAACCAGCTCGACTCCTTTGTTTAACCTTAGCAGACCATCAACATGCCATAACATCTATATAACAGGAAAGTGAACACCCACAAAAAGCACAATAGGGCATCTTGAACACAACTCTTGTTTGAATGTGTGGACTGTAATGGCTTAGAAAGTTATGGAGGTTCAAAGAAAATACTTTCAAATAAAACTTCACTGAATACATGAAAACAAATAACACAAAGTCCTTTATCTTTTAGGAAAATGACACAGATATGAAAAGTTAAAGGTAGGGTAGGTAAGTTTGAGAAACCGGCTCGAGATACACTTTTTGTTATATTCCATGGAATGCTCTTAACATCCCGAGAGCAATGAATATCTGAAGTGCTTTGACAAAAAATCCATAAAAAAATGTCATCTGTGGAAGCTGTAGTACTGTAAAAAGCACGACCAATCATCTGAGCCGGCCCGGCTAAAATAACTGGATGGCCTACCTGCCTGTCAGCCTTCCATCTGTGCACAAACTTATCTCGTGCCCTCATTGGTCATGTGCGCGTTCGTGTGTGTTGGAGGAGGGGCTCTGTAAGGAAGTGGCAGATTTTCTCCGGTTGTGTATTTTCAAATTCTAGCGATCTCGAGCCGGTTTCTCAAACTTACCTACCCCACCTTTAAATGAGACCAAATACTCCGAGCAGAGTTAACAAAAGAAAAATACAATATAAATCTAAAAAATGTACTTCCAGCTCTAGGAAGATTTGGGTTGAATATATTTGACTGAACATTGATCTGAGTTGAACTGAAAATCATTTCTGAACAATTTGCTAATCTGACGGAGCGTCTCTCAACTTGCCGAACGAGTCCTGAAAGATAAAAGAAAAACATTCAAGGGAACAATTAAATCTTGATTAATTTACTTAACCATAACATTTCATTTAATGTTTTTAATGTAAAATATATGTTCACGCCGTTATGAGGAACATTTACAGTCCTACCTTCATCACGGGGGTGTAGAGAGGATCCTCTGCTGAAGGTGAGTTTTTAAGTCCTGATTCTGCACAAGAGACGAGTTCAATTCATGATAATATGCAAGAAATCTGAACAAAAATCTTCAATATAATTTTCTTAAACAACTTCAATCAATGTTAATCCCTTGTTACTGTAATCATTTGACTTGGAAAACCCCTACAAGTAAAATGTAAAGGTCCCCTATTATACTGTTTTTCATCAATATATTACAGGTCTCAGATATATATACAGAGCCTGTCTCTGATTGGCTGAAACACCAAACAGATCATTGCAGCATTACCCATAATCCCCTCTGTTTCAGCCCTGTTTCCAAAGTGCTGATTCTCTGTCTGTTACTTTAGATGAAAATAAGGAGCCCCTCCCCACGCCCCTCTGAGAGAGATTTGGTTACAAAGAACTCAATGGTGCTCTAGGAGGAGATTCAGGTGATAAGGTGGGGGGGGGGGGGGGGGGGTACCTTGGTTGCTGATTGGCTAATGGTTACACAAGACAAAACATCGTTATGACATCATAAAGTGGCCAACATCTGATCAGCTCATTTTCAGACAGGTTTTTATAGAAATGGATCAGGACAAAAAGAGAGAGAATCTTTGTTCCTGAAACTTTCAGAGTCTCTTTCCACAGAGGGGACACATGGTGATGAAGAAGAGACATGAAGAAGAGGGGACACATGTTGATGTAGAAGAGACATGAAGAAGAGGGGACACATGTTGATGTAGAAGAGACATGAAGAAGAGGGGACACATGTTGATGTAGAAGAGACATGAAGAAGAGGGGACACATGTTGATGTAGAAGAGACATGAAGAAGAGGGGACACATGTTGATGTAGAAGAGACATGAAGAAGAGGGGACACATGTTGATGTAGAAGAGACATGAAGAAGAGGGGACACATGTTGATGTAGAAGAGACATGAAGAAGAGGGGACACATGTTGATGTAGAAGAGACATGAAGAAGAGGGGACACATGTTGATGTAGAAGAGACATGAAGAAGAGGGGACACATGTTGATGTAGAAGAGACATGAAGAAGAGGGGACACATGTTGATGTAGAAGAGACATGAAGAAGAGGGGACACATGTTGATGAAGAAGAGACATGAAGAAGAGGGGACACATGTTGATGTAGAAGAGTCATGAAGAAGAGGGGACACATGTTGATGAAGAAGAGACATGCAGAAGAGGGGACACATGTTGATGTAGAAGAGACATGAAGAAGAGGGGACACATGTTGATGTAGAAGAGACATGAAGAAGAGGGGACACAAGTTGATGAAGAAGAGACATGAAGAAGAGGGGACACATGTTGATGTAGAAGAGACATGAAGAAGAGGGGACACATGTTGATGTAGAAGAGTCATGAAGAAGAGGGGACACATGTTCATGAAGAAGAGACATGAAGAAGAGGGGGCACATGTTGATGTAGAAGAGACATGAAGAAGAGGGGACACATGTTGATGTAGAAGAGACATGAAGAAGAGGGGACACATGTTGATGTAGAAGAGACATGAAGAAGAGGGGACACATGTTGATGTAGAAGAGACATGAAGAAGAGGGGACACATGTTGATGAAGAAGAGACATGAAGAAGAGGGGATACGTGTTGATGTAGAAGAGACATGAAGAAGAGGGGACACATGTTGATGTAGAAGAGACATGAAGAAGAGGGGACACATGTTGATGTAGAAGAGACATGAAGAAGAGGGGACACATGGTGATGTAGAAGAGACATGAAGAAGAGGGGACACATGTTGATGTAGAAGAGACATGAAGAAGTGGATTTTGCATAATAGGTGACCTTTGATATGTTTCGATCCAACATTATCGCTATAAAAAAATAGAAATCAGTATTTTCTATGTTTCTGTCCAGCACTTAAAACCATTAAACCATAACCTAAAAATAATTCAGAGACATGTAACAATCTGAGATAAAAGTCAAAATGCCCGAAGAAAACTGAATTTGGGGGAATTGTTTTCTTTGAATGCCTTGTGTTAAAAGGTGCTATATAAATAAACTTGGCTTGAAAATTCTGGGCAAAAAGTCAAAATTCTGACTTTTCTCTCAGAATCTTCAGATGTATTGAAAACACTATTCAAATCTGGCGCCAATCCTTTACATTTACAAGAGTGTATGTAGTCATTCTTAACTGTACATGACTCTAAATACAAAGACATATTTGTAAGGTGCTAAAAAAATAAAGATTATTATTTTCATTACTTTAATGGGTCAAAATAACTTCTACTGTTCAGATATCTGTCGCTATTTTAAATGGAAAGCTACAGATATCTAAGTATTTTGGTAGTGTGTGCATCTTCTAGATTACATTTTTTAACTGCATTTTGATCAAATACGAACCGTGAGCTTGTGGAGTCTCATTTATAACCAACGCAGAGTAAACTGCTTCAAATGAAGGTTCACCTGCAGGGACAGAATGTCAGTGAGCAAGAGTTGAACTTAAAGAAAGCACATTATAAATATATACCTTGACTAATAATTATTAAAAATGTCCCCTATACCTGCTTCAGTCTGTGGGTTTCGGCTGTGGTCTGTCTCGATGCTGAGGCTCGGATTATCAGCAGCGTCTGCAGCGTCTAAAATAAAACGCAGTGTGTGAAACGCTGAGAGGGAGCAAAAATAATTCATACCTCTGCACGTCTCAACTGTCACTTTCAACACGTGACAAAGATCTTAAAGTATCACTCAAAGTAAACCTTTGTCTCTCGTGAGCAGTATTTACTGTATGTTGTTTGAAGCTGGATTAATAATAAAGAAACAGGGTAACTATAATAGTCTTTTTTTTTTTTCTAAATCGTAAAAAATAAAACAAAAATGAGATTTTAAAGTGAAGTAAAACCTCGGTGATGTCTTGGTTTTTTGACGACGAGAGCGTACGTGACATTTTCCTGATCCTCTTCACAGACTGTAGCTGGAAACATATTAAGTAATACATTCAGTCACATGTTAATCTTAACTATTTAGCAATAATGTACATTTTTTATAACTCACCATTTAGATTTTCCTCGCCGGAGCATGGTGAATCTGCTGTTTGTGTCTTTGAGGAGTCTGGTGCATGAAAAAGCAAAACAATTATGGAAACACAGGAAAAAAAGACATTACATTACAAAGTTAGATTTTTAAATAACAAGTCTAGAATACTCATCAACAATTATGTGTACTATTGTCCTCACAACTTTACTTTATGTATATCAGTTCTATATTATAATGTATTAATAATGTAGATAACTTGTTGCTCTTTTAGTAAAATCGCTGTATACATTTTTAGTTTTGAAGAAGTTCTCACTTCAATGCTCCTTAACATTGGATTTAGAAGTAAATACGCTATTATAAACGTAGTTGCATGTATATAAATACACAATGTGTTAGGTAGTTACTTTTTCATACCTCTATGTTTAATATGAAGGACTCCCAGCACCAGCAGAGCCAAAACCAAAATGAAAATAATGATAGCGGTCCACAGCAGGACGGAGACATGGAGGAAAGAACGCATTTGATCATTAAGTAGGTCACCACTTTCTGTAATACACAACACACAATGTTAGCATGTTAGCATTTACATAATCATATACATAATCAAATGTTTAAATGATGGACGATTTACATTTCCTCACAACTTAATTTCAGTGGTGGACAGCAACTAAGTACATTTACTCAAGTACTGTACCTACAATTTAAGGTACTTTACTTTACTTTGGTGTTTCAACTTTGGTACTTTAAACTCCTCTACAACAATTTAGAGGGAAATATTGTACTTTTTGCTGCATTGGTTTGAAAACTGGAGTTCATTTACGTAACTCTTAATACATTTATAGAATATAACACTGCTAAGATTAAATTATCCACCAGTACACAAAGTAGTTAACCCTTTATGGGGCACTATTAGGTTAACTCGTTTCAGGCCTCTGGTGATTGGTCAAAGTCCCCAATGTGCTCTGTGGCGTAGAGTGAACTTCGCTGATTGGCTGGGAGAAAACCACATGCTTCTCGACCTCACTGAGTCGCGGGGGGGGGGGCGCCATGTTTGGTGTGTGTGGAAATTACCAAATATGGTTCCTCGCCCGATAAAGGGTTAAAATAGGTATCAGTAATTTTTTGTTTGTAGGTTTACTTAAAGGGGACCTATCATGCAAAATGTACTTTTGTACGTCTTTTCTACATGAACATGTGTCCCCGGTGTTCCAGGGAACTCACCAAGTGTCAGAAAACACAACCCTCTCTATTTTCCTCCATACCCAAATCTCTAAAAAAGGGGCTGCAACGGATCTGATAAAAACTGATCCAGATTTGAACACTGTCCTGACGTCAGGACAGTGGCGCTACGGCTATTGGGCCAACTCCACCAATCAGGAGGAGACAACCACGGCATTGCCGTTCGAAAGCGCTGGAGACGCTGTAGTACTTATGCCAGGCATGTAGATGGTGCTGTTCTCACAGAATCAGCCCTTGCAAAAACAGATCTAAAAAATGTCAAATTGAGCAAAATGAGGCATGGCTAAAATGCATGATCTGTTTGGTATTTTGAAAAAAAAAAGTATAAATATGCCTTATATAGGTATGGTCCTACACTATATTATTCAAATATAGCATGATAGGTCCACTTTAATAATAAATACTAGATTTTGCTTTTAATACTTAGGTATGTAAATTATAAACATATCACTTTGTATAGAGCGTTATAAGCAGTCCTGCCACTGGCCAAATTGGGGCCCTACACCAATTTTGAGTCATGAGGCAAAAAGCGTATAGGGGTGGCCCTGGGTTTAAGATAAGTAAAATATCTGACTACTTTTTTCCACCTTTGATTCATTGTTTATAGAATATGGAAACAAATTACTGCACATTGTAAACTCAAAATTGAGAAATAAAATTTGGCGTAAAACTTTGAATGATGTGCAGTGCATGTGCGCAACCGCACTTTAGCAAAGACATGCATTTATATTCTTTCAGATTCATTAAAATCACTTATGTGTATAAGTGTAAACTGAGCATGTTTAACCTATTCCTATTTTAAGTGTTTTATTCATACTGATACTTATATTTGTTATTCTGAAATGAACTCTTACCTGTCCTATCCTGTGTTTCACTCTTATTGCTGTTGTTGCTCTCAGATCTCAATGTCCCTATGGGGATTATTAAATAAATGTTAGTTCTATAAAACTGGCTGTTAAATTTGACTATGAACTGTGTGAGGTCTATTTTAGCCCAAATAGCAGAAAATGCCAAATACCGCTATATATAATCTAAAATGTTAAAAAAATGTGGTTCTCGTAAATAGAGTAAATATCATCTTTTGTAGTTCTTGTATCTCACCTCTGACAGTCAGCCAGCTCTCTGGTGATTCCCCATCTTCAGAGATGCTGCACTTGTAGAGTCCTTCGTCAGATTTGGAAACATTTTCGAATGTTATGTTTCCTGTAGAGCTGCTCCTGATGAAGCTGCCATTTTTATAGAAATCAGCTGACAGGATGGAGGAAGTGGTCGTCTTGTTTCTGCAGCTCAGAGTCACAGATTCTCCCTCCATCACAGGAAGCACAGGACTCTCCAGGATCACAGAGCCACCTGAACAACATCGGGATACATTTGTAGTCTATTGTACACATTTTAAGTTATTTACAAAATTGGAAATGATATGTACACAAGCATTACGCTCATGGGCAGAATGAATAAAACATATCAGAAATAAACAGAATACATTGATAAATAAATCAGAAATGATACAGTAATGTATAATAGTGTATCGTCTGCATAGAAGTTAATATTATTACATGTTTCTTTTATCCCTGTGGCAGCGTCGACGGTTGATTGTCATTCCTGTAATTTTGTCATTATATTTTTAGACAATTCATTAAGTGTCATTATAGACACGATTATAGAAACCTAGGTCTTTTTTTGTATATTTTGTGACCAAATTCTAATTTTAGAAAATGATTGACTTTTTGAACAGTGTTTTGGGGTTTTCTTTTTATTGCTTGGAATTGTTAAATTCTGTTTTTCTTTAAAAATATTCAGGCTTTGTCTTTTTCATTTTTGGAGTTTAATCAGATATTGTCATTGCACCAACAAAATTTGTCGGAATCACGTTTATTGCCAAGTAGGTTTTCAAATATGAGGAAACTGCTTTATTATTGCAAAATAACATGTAAAATAAGAGAAAATATAGAAACATTTGTAAAAATATTAAAACTATGATTAAAAAAGTGAAATACAGGATATAAAAGTATATATTTGTTAAAGGTACTGTGAAAAACTATGTACGGTATATCGGAATCAAAAAAGGAAGAACTGTGCAGATTTAAGAAAGCTTAATGTGCTAACTAATCTTAATTACGATAAACATACCGGTGACCGTGATGTCGACAGAATTGCTCTTCCTTCCTTTCTCATCCTCACACCAGTAAACCCCGCTGTCCGGTGCATAGGCCTCTGGAATGGTGCAGTTCAGTGTTGATGAAGCAATAATATAACAACCCTTAATCAACTCATTGTTGTTCCTAAACCCCCTCAGAGCAGAGCCAGGACCCTCGCAGAGAAAAGAGAAGGGCTCGTATTCAAAGAACTGCAGTCTCTCCGTGACAATGTGCAAAGCTGCGTCTGAGAACAGAAATATAGACAATACAACATCTGCCAAATATTGCAAAATGATGATATAAATGGAAGTTAATCAGTTTATTTGTAACTTACCAATTATGGCATTCAAAAATGTAAGATTTTACTTTTTACATTTTCTATTCAGGTTAAACAAATATAGACATATAGAATATATTCAATATTATTTAGCTCTGCAGAGACATAGAAAGATAAATGGATAATATAAATGTGTAACTTGGGTTCAGTTTGGAGGAATGCATAATGCAAACATTTTAAAAGTGTATCTTAGTTGCTACCCACCATTGTTTTTCGTAAAACTCTTCTGAATATGTGCACCCAGCAGAACGATGACACACGTCACTGGATATATAAATAGTGAAAAAAGTGCATATCAGCCTCATATGTGTTAATATAAAAGAATAAATTAAAGTTTAAACAAAGCTGAGACTCACGCAGTCGGCTGCAGAGCGCTGTGACCTCCATGATGTCTTCCTGCTGTCTGAGCGTCTCACTGTGAGACACAGAAATATAATGTGAGTGAGAACTTCCTCTTCCTGTGCAGAGTGTTTCTGAGGCTGGGGTCAGACTCTCTGTGGTTTCAGCTCAGAGCTCGAGATGAAACCGTTAACAGTTAACACGTACATAAAGAGTATAATGAAAAAGAAGGCAGTGGAAAATTCTGTCTTTAAAGACAAAGGTGCCAGGTTTTGAGTTTTCCTTTTGAATTTATTTAATTTTTGCTTGTGCTCTGTTTTATCTCTGCTGTCATTTCAGACCAAGCCACTCCCATTGGCCTGCTTGCCAGAATATCTGGATCTAATGGCGCGTTTCCACTACAGCGCGGAGCCCGGTTTAAGAGGGCTGTGACGTCAGCGGCCCGTCTTTGGTTGCGTTTCCACTTGGCCTAGTACCGGCCGGCGGGTCCTAATTCACAGTTTTTCTGGCCTCATAAAATCGCGGGTCTAGGGCCAGAGACAACGAGGCTGAGTCGGGCTGAGTATGCTAAACTAGAGAGAGCGTTGCTGGCAAGGGGGCTACAACTACAACAAGATGGACATATTTGACCGTGATTTAATTGTAATACACGTTTCAAAATGATGCCGAAGTAACAACATACTGATACCGGTTAGTAAAAACCATGAATTAATGCTTTGACAAGTCTGCAGACAGACGGCAGGCGAAAAACCTTTTAAAATGCGTGTGTTCTAAATGGAGATTGGCTAAGCTAACGCAGTATATGCTCCGACCGTCCACACTCACAACAACGGCCTATACAGACATAAATAAAGCAGCGACTGTATTCACCATGACACAGGCAGTCTGTGGTTTGTACTTGTTTAACTTTTGTCTAGTTTCTGAACATATATGAGGAGCTGTGAGCTCTGAGTGCTAACAGCTAACGGCTGTGTTGTTTTTCTGGGGTTCTCTGAAGATCACGTCACGGCTCCACCTACACTGCGTTACTATAGATACTACCCCAGTTCCTAAACTGTAATGGAAATGCGCCATAAAGTGAGCCAGTCCTAACGAGGCCCAGCCATACCGAGCGGGGCCGAGCGAGGCCGTGTAGTGGAAACGCGCCATAAAGGAGGTCAAGCTGGCCATTTCTCTGCCCCCTCACAGACCCTACGACTGTGCCATTGACCTACTCCCTGGCACCACTTCCCCAAAAGGTCGGCTCTCTCCAAAGTAAATTGATGTACTCAGGGAAATGCAAAACAAAGTCACGCCTGGTTTGTTTTTTACTAGCTTGGGTCACATTAGGGGGGGTTTCCAGAGACTATTGGAAACCATCTTTTTGTGAAGGCAGAGAAATGTGAATTTTGTGTCCCGGAAGTTTTTTTATTGGGGGGGTTTGTGCTCAAAGGAGGAAGCTTCCAGATGGATCCAGCAAAGGTCAAGGCTGTTGCAGAACGGCCTCAGCTTTCATCCCGCAAACAGAAAGTTATGTTTAATTAGTTTTCCCCTTTTTGTTATTATGCTGGAAAAAACTAAATGGCGGCGCGGGCGCAGACAGCAGCAGCGGCTTTTCGCTCTCCCGAATCTTTAGTGTTTTATAGTGTTTTTAATGATTCTTCAGTATGTTTGTCACGTATGTTGAGCTCACTTCAACTACCCCGGACCGACAGCTCAGTCAGGGGTATACAGTACAGTGGCGAGTTCTTGCTGGACAAGAAAACAACAACAACCCACACACTGGATGCTATGCTTGCAGCGGAACTTAGCGGCCTCGGAATACTCTGCTCGCCCTTGCCCTCGAGTGCTACTCCCATGCTGAATAGGAGACATCCGGGCTAGGCTAGAAGCTAGCCCACACAGGCCCGCTATCCCGAGCATACTCATGGCAAATGTACGCTCACCGGACAATAAAATGGAACTTCATAAGACTTCTCCAGTCGACCCAGAGTGAGGTGAGGTTTTCACGGATTCATGGCTAAATGACAACATCCCAGACTCTGCCATTCAGCTCGACTGGCTAAGATTTATGTTCGTGAAGTGCAGGCCTTTCCATCTCCAAAGGGAAATCAACACCATTCTGCTAACAGCTGTTTACATCCCCCGCACCTCTAAGGGGTAGTGGTGGTCTAATGGATAGTGAGGTGGGCTGAAGATTGGAAGGTTGCGAGTTCAAATCCCACCTGGAACACCACCACTAGAGTGCCCTTGAGTAAGGCACTTAGCCCTCAGTTACTCCAGGGAGAATGTCCCTGTAATCGGTAATTGTAAGTGTAAAGCGTCAGTGTTACGGCTGCTGTTTCTGTCTGCTCGTTAACCTGTCTGAGATTGTTTGCAGCTGTGTGTGTGTAATATGTAAATGAGCTGTGTGGTTGCCCCAATGTCGTTGGCTGTCATCTCCTGGTCCTCCTCCGAAGACACTGATTGGAGCACCGGGCCCGACGCTCTGTGCAATCCCAGAGCACACCTTCCAGAGATGACTACAAAGCCTGGGGACAATTATCACTCTGGAGGCTCTGCTGCGATCAGACGCCTCATACAAAATGCTCTTGTGTCGTGGACACTACAGACTGTGTTTGGTGTGACAATATATGTGTCGAGTGTTGATATATGTGCTTAGTGTCGAGTGTTGATATATGTGCTTAGTGTCGAGTGTTTAAAGTGATGTGTTTAGTTTCTTTTGTTAGCTGTGTTTTCCTGCAGCTCCTTCCATTAGTGCTGATTGGAAGTGATCTCAGGTGTGATAACTAGGCTCATGTTTTAGAGTCCTCTTTCTGTTATTAGCAGTAGACCTGCGCCCTTTTGGCTTCTTTGTTTAGCTTAGGTTACCTTTGCTCCCTTTTTGTTGTACACCTTTTGTTGTTATTTCATTAAAACCCTATTATAATTACTTACCAAAACCATCTGGTGTGTGTTACCTTACTCATCCCTAGTGGGTTCGTAACAGTCAGCTAAATGAAATGCAATGTAATGTAACAACAAAGACAGAGAGGAGGCACTCTGTGAGCTAATCAGCAGACAGCCATCTCATCATCGCTGGGGACTTCAACCATGCAAACCTGAAAACGTTCATGCCAAAGATATATCAACATGTTGATTTCCCAACAAGAGAAAACAGCATCCTGGATCTTGTTTATACCACAATTAAAGGCGCATACAAGGCTCCCCCTTCCCCCACATCGGACTCTCTGACCACCTCACTGTTATGACAAAACCGGCATACAGACCAGTTTCCAAGGAGAGGGCCACGGGCTGCTGAGGGCCCGCAACATTGCTTCTCCACCTGCCTCTTCATCTTCCATCCCTCCACCTGCCTCTTCATCCTCCTCCTCCCTCTTCATCTTCCATCCCTCCACCTGCCTCTTCATCCTTCACCCTCCCTCTTCATCCTCCATCCCTCCACCTGCCTCTTCATCCTCCACCTCCCTCTTCATCTTCCATCCCTCCACCTGCCTCTTCATCCTCCACCTCCCTCTTCATCTTCCATCCCTCCACCTGCCTCTTCATCCTCCATCCCTCCACCTGCCTCTTCATCCTCCACCTCCCTCTTCACCCCTCCCTCTTCATCTTCCATCCCTCCACCTGCCTCTTCATCCTCCATCCCTCCACCTGCCTCTTCATCCTCCACCTCCCTCTTCACCCTCCCTCTTCATCTTCCATCCCTCCACCTGCCTCTTCACCCTCCCTCTTCATCATCCATCCCTCCACCTCCCTCTTCACCCTCCTGCCTTCACTAATGTACATTTATTTTAGTAATTTTAGTTTTAGTAAATTGCATAACATTACATTTAGCTGAGGCTAAATGTGCAATCAGCCATGGAGTTACAATCTCAGGAGAGCATGACTCCTGCAAATACGGGATCTACACACAAGCAAAGTGCAAAATGATTTATTTTATTATAATAATATTATTACTAATATTAACTCCTTAAACAAATCTTTTAATGTGTACTGGTTGCACAAGCCTCCAGTTTTCCAGGTGGTGGTGTATGTACCTGTAGCTGTTTGCAAAGAAGAAAAGAAGAAGATAATAAAATCAATGATTGTTATGGAGATACCCGGACATATCATTTATTTCTAGAAGTAAACAAAGACAAGCAAATGGTGTTAAACTTTGGGATCAACATAATGACCGTCACTGCCTGATTGGTGTGTGTTTTGGACTGATACGGATCCTCATGAATGTAACTGGCTGCAGAGAGTGTTTATGAGCCTCAAGGTGTTGGATTGTTTCAAATAAATGTTCCACTGCAACAGATTGTATTGCAGTGTATTATTTCATAACCTAGCAACTGAGTCCAAAGTTCAGAAGCTCATAAAGCAAGACGCTCAGAGTGAAACTCAGATAACAATACTTTTATTCAATTCAAGAAGAGGCAGAGAGAGAGAACAGGTATGTGGTCTTCGTCGAACATTAAATCCAAAAGAGATTATTTCTTAGAATGGGTCTGCATTTTAAATTAGGGTCTCTCTAAAGCACAAGAAAAAGAAAAGAGAGTATTGTTCACGTGTTTATGTCGGAGGGAAAACTGCGGTCCTAACACTAAAAAGGTAACTGTGTACAGAGAGTCTTTCCTTTATTAACGTCTCCGAGATATTAGACTTTGTAACATGGCATTAAGTGTAACTAAAATATCTTACAAATAGGGAAGCTTCTAAACACATTTAAATTCACTTTTCTAAAGCTACTAAAGTGAAAGTATAATGGTGTTTTTAGTGAACAATGAACAGACAAATACAACTGTGGAAAATTGAAAGTACACTCTTGGTTTATATTTATAAGAGAAGTTCACGAAGAAATACAATTTGAGAAGTGAAGCTGCTCTCACAGGTGTGTTTTAGGATATAATATAAGGAATTATGGTATGTGACTTACAAGTTGAACACAGAAGACGGCAGCAAAGTTTTACTTTTAATTTATTGGAGCTTTCAGCAAAAGTGATATCTTATAAATAACCATTTTAAAGCATTTTCTCCTGTCACTTTACATTTCTCCTGTTCAGTTCCAGCGCTCTATGATGGATTTCCACACAGACGGAAAGCCCCTT